ACTGTTATCACCTTGGTACACCCTATGATGAAACCACCATGTGTCTACTTTAAGTGATTAAAAAGCAATGGATTGAAGTGTTTTATTTCCTGTCAAGCTGACCTTTTATAAAACTGTTCCCCCTGCATGGTGGTTTTGTCGAATAGTGAGTGGGCTGCCATGCTGTGCTGCTCACAGGAATGGGAATGGGGGGGATGTCATTCGATTAGCATGTGGACTTTTGTTCAAAACATTTACAATCTAAGTTGGTTTGAAGAAAAGTACATAAACAACTTAATGTGTGAAAATCTGAAGGAGTACAGCCTTTCTGTGGAGAAAAAAGGAGAGGGAGCAGAGGGTATCGCAGCTTTGGATAAACTCAATCATGACAGCACAGCCACAGATGTTCTTTTAATGTGTGTGCATGAAATGTACCCAAGCCCTTATTATGCCTACACATGAGGGGTTGTACAGTTGTATTAGCGTGTGCATGTGTGCGGACACGGGAGCACATGTCTAATTAATCACTGGAATCCATCTCATCAGCCTTTGACTAATGGCCAGCATTCAAGCCTGGTACCAAAGGGATAGAATCTAATCCAAATGGTTAAATCAAACATCCAGTGAATGCTTGGTGATAAAACAACCGGAATTCCTGTTTCTTTTTGAATGAAAAAAGAGGGAAATGCTGTTCAAACAGACACAGTTTTATAAGATTAAAATGCTAATTTGGCAAACATGTAACTGGTAACCCCTTGACAAACTCTGAAAAGGTGTAATATTTTATAGGCGTACAAGATTACTTCTCTACTGTCTCTTCTTGTGCCCCTTGTGGGACTAATAGTCTAATATGGTTTGTGACCAGGCCTGGTAGTTTAGAGTGGGTGGCCTGAGTGAATACCTACACTGCTGGTATTGGTAATAGTGAGAAAATATTGTGGTTATTTTTAGTGGACATTAATTGCGATGGACAGCTGCATCGTCCAGTAAGAGCTTTGTAATAGTAGCTTCAGAGGAATCACGTAATGTTGCCAGAGGTAAGATACAGGCTGATTTTAATTAAGTGCTATGAATGGCAGCTCTTGTATAGCATCAATGCAGTACAAATGTTCTTAATATTAAAGTGACGGTCTGTTTTCAATGGCTTCCCACTAAGCAGTGACTGACTGAAATAGTTAATAAACTTGTTAAACTGTGTTTACTTTAATTATATCCTCAGCAGAGAGAGTACTAGCTATGAAATACTTTTTCAAACATGTTCTCTTTCACTTGGCAGGAATAATTGACCATTGACATGCTCAGGAAATGCAAAACCATTGTGTTTGAAGAGCATAGGCATTAACAAACCTGTGCTTTCATTTACATCATTTGTTATTTGGTTAGTACTTCCTTGAGTGACTCACCAGGAAGGTTAAAGCAAGCACACCGGAGGTGCTTACATCTCAGCAGGTGGGCTCACTGACATGTAAAGGACTTGGCCTGTGTGAAAGCTAATGCTAATATGGTCGAAATATGTGGTGTGACACTCAAGTTCAGGCTCGTTTAAGTGAAATAAGATTTCAGATTAGCAAAGATTTAGTGAGTAAACATTAACTTTGTCTTTAAGGTGGAAGTCCATTTAAAGAGCATAGTCTAACAAGAACCAGGAGGTACAAGGGTCGACAAATTACACCAACTCCTTCTCAGTAGTCACAAACAGCTGACAAACATACACGAGTACACACATACACACACACTTTTTGTTTCCCAAATGGCACATCTCAAATGTAACAACGCATAATAGACGAGAGGAGACACAAAACATTGTAATACAGGAGAATATGAAAACTGAACCGTTCCGGCACACCCAAAACACAAACACACACAATGTGAAGATAATAGATAGATAGAATGGAGAATGCATGAGCACACACTAACACTTTTAAACACACCAGATGGCTGTTGAACCCACAAGACCCACATGGTTGGCATCAACTTTTCAGGTTTAACTGCATTTATTTTGTACAGAGATAAAGATTCAGATATTCATCTAAGTAGGTGTTTTTTGTGGAACTAGACCTTAACATTTCCTGGTTGCACATTCAGGACTTTTAGATTTGAATAATGACAAAACAATGTCAACCGAAACCCATAATAGAAACTCACAACAGCTCGTCCCAGGTCCTAAACCGTTTCTGTGTGTGCATTTTTGTCAACTTTTGAACACAGAGGTGACTGGCGGCACCAACAGCCATCTTTTGTCTTTTACAGCATGCATAAGAGAGTAACCACCTGTTTCTGTGTCCACACAGAGCCACACAATAATGAGGAGAACTGGAGTGTAAACAGACCAAAGCAGGACCAGAGTGTCCAGCTGCACACAACCATATGTGCCAGTCATTGTCGAGTCAACACACTGCATCCATAATTACATTATAGGAAGTTATTGTTAATACAGTGACTAAGGGTAAAGGAAGCTGAAACTATTATGCAATCAAAAGTGGTTAGGTTTGGAAGTGAGCGTTAAAAGTTATTTTGAGCTTACTAAGGGTAAAAAATTAAGATTTAGGTGAAGTGAACTTTCTATTGACTGTAGGTGTGACTTGTTTTTCATTCCTGTATCTTTGCATAATGATGTCACCTGTGTAGCCAGGACTGGTGACTTCCAAACAAGGACTATTTATGAAATATGTTATTGATGGAAGCAACGTCACAGTTTAGCAGGGGTAAAAATGTTTCAAAAACTTGATTTTATATTACCAATTTGCACAGGGTGTGGAGTTTATCATTTATAGCTGTGACGCACTTCCAGAAATATTTGTATGATGACATCCTGAAAGACAATAAAGGACAGGCGTAATACAAGTGTGACGACCAATTCAGATCCTGATGTTCTGTGAACCAAGGTGCAAAATAATAGCAACACAATGCTATGACAACACTATTGCTGTGACACCATCCCACCAAACTGGCCACATCCTTCAAGCTCGATACAACTCTGAAAAAATGATTAACCAAACTGGTTTAACAGCCTCTAACAATGCAGCTCAGTATGAAAGCACCTGCAGATATTGTAAATGTAATGAAGATACCCTGTGAAAGAAGGACATTTTACTATTCAGCACAGGTTATAGGGCTGTTTTCTCAACAACTTTGTGTTGTTAATTTTCCTTCAAATGTAGGAGGTTGAACAAAACATAAAATGGAAAACCGGCCCGTTAACCTGGAGCACTCAAGATAGTTTGTTGTGAAATAAGATGAAAGATGATGTTTGATTTAAAAATAAAAAAACAATGAACCATTATTGTTGGCTTGATTGGATGTTATGCCCAAAACAATAGCCTTTAATGTATTTTATTCTTTAGCATTCTTTATGATTGGAACTTTCTACATAACAAACTAACAAAGGCAGCTTTAATAACAGCTGTTTATAGCTGACAAGAATTGTATTCGATCTCATGAGACAAACATGGACAATATACAAAACAATAAGATATATCTGAATGGTGTTTTTTTATACTTCATCACTGCTTTTTGAAGTAGGCCTCCTGACAAACTGAAAAAACCTTGAAACCAGATGAATCAACTGTAATTTTTTTTTTACGGGGAGATCCTGTGTTAAATTAGAGTTGTTGCTTTTGTCTTAAGTTCAAAACAATGTAAACGTGAAAACTTGATGCCCTTGATGTAAAGTCAGATTTTACTTCCCTTAAAAGCCTGTTCAAATATCAACATCCTTAGCTTGATGTGGCCTTGACAGTTCAAAGACCACTTTGCTTTCTTTGCAGGTGTGGTGAATCCGGTTTAAAACAAAAAAGTAGTTGGAAGATTCAAAGTATTTTTAGTGTTCATAGTAGAAATAAATAGCAAATAACACTTCAGAAACCAGAAAACTTCAATTACACTAAGTTTGACTCCAAATACCAGAGGTTTTCTTATCACTACTCTGCTTTAAAACTATTATCACTTCTCAAATCCCAAGTTCCTATAATAGTCATCTTTTGCACAATATTAGGATTTTTCTGTAATTCTGCAGAGGTTTGTTTTCCCGTCCCTTCTTCATTCGTTCCTTCTCTTGTGAAGCCTGAAAGTAGGTTACTGGGGCTGTTAATATAAACACTTGTCGATGCATGAGAAGCAGCAGGCACATGAGAACAGAGTTATGACATCTGACTCAGTTTTACCTCATCTGTTTTCCTAAACTCCCTTATTAAAAGTGAAACCTGTATGCTCATACCTTTCGTTTAAACACAGTGCTCTGACATGCACTAATAAAACACTGATAGGCAAAGTGTCCCCCACTTTATTTAACTGCATATGATACAGTCAGAAGTTAGTGTTTCCATGAGTGCAAATGACTGTAAGTGCCTCTTCCCACCCAGCCCCCCCCCTTTCCAGTATAAAACTGTACTGACCTCAGTGTATTCACACTCGGGCAGGTAGCCAGTTCCCTCACTGTGCAGCAGCAACACTATCCTTCGCAGCTAAACTGAAATAGCAGACAGAAAAGCACAGTCAGAGATGACACATGCACACGTACTCCTCGCCCCTCTGACTCTGCAGTGAGCACAATAGGTCTTGATGGGGAGATTTCTGCCTGGCAGTCCTAGACAGGCTTTACAGTAAAGCACTGAAAGGCCTTTACTGTAAAGCTTGTTTGTTTATGTCTTTTGCTCCAGCAAAAGTAATGCAACTCAAAGTCAAGACGATGCCAGGAAATTGGTGCTTATGGTATGAATGTTGATCAGGCCAAAGCTGACCAAGCTTTAAATCTCAGACAGACTGTTAAGGGTTTTTTAAATGCTCATCACTGACTTTGGGACACAGTGTCTGGTAAATGATTCATCCGGGATCATGACAAGCACTAGCCAACCTTAGCACTGCTGTGAGGGTGTGGTTATAAGTGGAGGTCAGAGGGCAATGGTTGTACAAAAACAACACCAAAGCTGAGCCCATTAGTCAATATGTCCTCCTACTACTTCTGTCAGCAGTGACAGCCTTACAAGAACACACCTCTCATTACTGAATAATAATGAAACCAAAGTCATAAAATGAATATGTAGCACACACTAGATGGCCAAAGCTTATAGCATGATGAATGTGGCTGGACAGAAATACAACCTCTGAGATTCTAGAGTAAATTATTCAGTTCATCAGGCGATACGTCCTTGAGAGGCAAGTGCCAGGGCATTGGTGGCCACATTTGAAAGTGAGTAATGGGGTCCAAAGTTCATTTTGTCACCTCATGGTCTGAGTTTTGTGTTCCCTGGTGTAGATTCATCATCCTATTTTCACAACTCTTAGGAGAGAGAGAAAACTGACACCCCAAGTGAGTCTGCCTGCTGTGATCAAACTGTAGCTGATGAAGCAGTTGAAAATAGTAATTCAGGACACTCAGTTTAGCCTCTGAAGCCTAGTTTCTATTATTACTGGTTTGTAATGAAGTCATGTCTGGGATTTTTGCCTTATAGCAAGAAGATCAGTGGTTTGGGCCGTGGCAAGGTCTTTTTCTATGGTGTGTCCATATTCTCAACAAGCAACATGTTTATTAAAGTTGTAGTCCATATTCTCAACAAGCAACATGTTTATAAAAGTTAAATGTTTGGCAACTTTATGTGGAAATTCAGTTAAAAAAAAAACTGTGTGCACGATCTGTGGCTTTCTCTCAGAAAACAAACCCCCATAGAGTATTAGGTTAACTGGACACTCTAAGTTAACCATAGACATACTGTGAATATGTGTCGCTGCAATAGATGGCTTAACTGTCAAGGGTGTACCCAGCCCTCACCCTATGACTGCTGGGATCGGCCCCTGCCCTCCCACCCTGTGACCCTGAAAAGGTTTCAGCCTTAAAAGATGAATACATAAGGTCATGTCTTTGGATCTGTGATTCCTACTGTGTGAAAGTTGATATCATTTAACCTAAGTTTCCCCAGAATCAAATCCTGACCTTAATTTATGAGAACCACGAAACCAAGATAGGAAATCACCCATTTTCCAAACATCTGAGACATTTATGCCTTTAAGAAATAACCATTTGCTTCTATGACGCATTTGCAGGACGCCTGCAGATTTCATTGTTGCTCCATATGGGACGAGCAGGAGCTCGATGAGACTGCCTGGCGCTGATTGCCCACACATAGACATTCAAATGAGATGCAGATTTCACAAGCTCTGCTCTCCTTCAAACTACATGGGACTGACCCCTAAAAAGTAGACCAACCAGAAACCAGGAAGACCAAAAATAGCTGAACTTTTCAGAACCAACATAGACTGGGTTAAGTTTCATACGACACATAACATTAGCGTCTGTCTGACTCAGATCACTTCAGTTTAAAGACAAAATTACCTTTATTTTAGAGTCCAAATGTTAAGAGAAGTGTCAGATTATATTCCAAGGTGAGCACAGGTAAGAGCTGCACAGGTGAAGTGTCCGAAAACAAAACAAACGGCCGTCACTTTCCTCCGCAGCAGAGTTGCAGCAGTAACAGTCAGCACTGAAGCTCCTGTCTCAGTTTACTTTGCTTCAGTGTGGCTGACAAAAGCGGACCTCCCCGTTTTCCAAGCCGCACCTCCCGCACCCACACCCTCCTCTCCTCGTCCTGCTCCCCCTCCTTCTCTTTTTCTCCTCCTCCCTCTGCTTCCCCTGTGCTTGAGAGCAACACCCCTGCTGTTTTTAAAGAGACAGAGTTCTGTTTACATACAACAGCGCAACAACAGCCTGCAGTTCAACTTAACCAATTTTGTCGTCATAGGACAGTTATAAGTTGCAGGTTGGTTTATTAAAACAAAAACAAAAACCGTTGTCTTTGCATCCATAATCCATTAAGAAATAAGTAAATAATAACTACACTATTCATGACAACTGGACAAAACTACTTCCAGTGCAGGAGGGGGTCCAGGTAGTAAGGCTGAAATGATGCTACTGGTTTTGGAAGAGATGCATTAGTGTATACGCTATGTTTATTTAATTTTGTTTTTTTTTTCTGTGTTCTATAACAGTGGTCTGGTTTAGACTAGGTACTGCCATTACAAACATTAAGAGTGTTTACGAGGAAGGTTGGGGGGTGGGAATTCAGTGGTCGATTTGACAAATGTTTGTATTTTTTTAATAACTATATTTGATAAAATGTGGTAATATATGTGGTAACTTTCCATTTACTTAACCAATCCTTTTTTTCACCAGATATTACCTTATGTTGGGTTGTCCCAGTCCATGGTGCTTTGAGGAAACCCAGGAGACGAGTAATAGAGAGGGCAGAGTTTTGCCAGCCAAAGCACTGGGGTCCAGGCAGACGTCACTCTGGATCACCTGACTGACCTGAAGCCCTTTAAGGCACACCACTGTGGAGGGATCAAGCAGGGGCCAGCACAGCGACTAAATAAGGTAGGTTTTAAGTTGCATAATTTTACCTTATTTCAATACTGTAACTTCGCAAAAAAGTACAGTGACAGTGACATGTTTTAAAACTCAATTGTAATACTTAATTAAGAGTAAATTCTGCTTTTTACCTTAAAATATTTTAACTTAAACATAAACAAACACAAATCCCCCTAACTGTGCCACATTGCTGAGTTTCTGTTAAAAAATTACTTCTAAAAGTTATAAGGAAAAAACCTTTCCTAATTTAGAAAGTTGTAGTGAAGTACAGTGAACCTTTTCCAAACTACATAGAGTGCAACCCAGCACATGGTCAGGTGGATTTAGGCCTGTGGAAGCTAGATCCTTCACGTGTTCTTCAGGTGTGAACTTTTCACTCCTGTTATATCACTGACGCCCATCTGTCAAAATGTCTTCCACAAGCCACCCATAGAATATTATTAGACAATGGCAAATTGCTTGTGTGCTGTTGAGCTGTTGTTGCTGCTACTGTTGCTATATGAGCAGATATTGTGGATGTTTCAGAACAAGAATGACGTTATGCAGGAACAATACAATACTGTGATGACACGTTACCCTGAAGCGGGCCCCCCAATTCTTTCAGTTAGTGCTTCCCTGTGTAGCTTTTGTGTTGCATATTATGCAATGTATGTAGCCTGGAAGGTTACAGTCAGAATCTAGGAGGCAAAAGCTACCTAGGCAGTAACAAAGGCAGAATGCAAACAAGAAGTAATTGAGTCAGATTTGAATTTGTTTTGATAGTCTTATTATTTTATCTGGACCCATATATATATATATATATATATATATATAAACTCATTTCAGCATCACCCAAACAATGCACTTGAACAGGAGTCTTAGCCTGTCTCAAGTGAGTCTCTTTTCTCCAACTGCTTGCATGTATATCCTCTTCAGATCCTTAAACCACCCTCGGTGAAGCTCACAAATGAGGCAATTAAGTTCAGAGTTTCAGATTCTTTTGAAGTGCACCTTCTGTCTGAATCCTTTAATATTCCAACAGTGGCTGCACAAAGCTCAGAGCTGCTTAGTAACTTACTCCCCCTTCTTAACAGAGAGACCTCGGACTCATTCCTCTCTTAGATGATTATTTTCCTTGGGGAGAAAGGAGGGCAGAGATAGGCAAATAAAAATATAAGAAAATAGTAATGTCTTCTGAAAGAGAAATGTTTCTTTTCCATAGTTGTAATTATTGTTCTGGATATGCTCATTTAGATTACCAGCCTCATCTAATCTGTTCTCACCCCGTGCACATGTGTTTAATAGGTTAGCTCTGGATTGAGTTGGCTGTGATCCAATTAGCCTCTAACACCCTCAGACATTGTGGAAATGCCTCAGTCTAGCAATTATGTCTGTTAGTGTATTGATTTACTGGAAACAATATTTTTTTTACTTATGACCCGCTCCCCAAATAAAAATGTAATGGATAATTGGCAAAACGAGGGACATAAATGCTAAAGCTAAAGCACTTTAGTCGACTGAAGAATGGCTTCTGAGCAACTGGGCTGCAGTTATCTGAAAGCACAGAGGAAATGAGGAAATCCAAGAGGGGCTATTCATTTTAGCTATCAGGATTTTGCAGCTTCTTATCCAATTTGATACTACCCTAAAAACACATTTCATAAACAAATTAGCTGGTGAACGATGCCTCCTCAAGTCTAACTCAAACAAAGTGTGCTCATTTGTATCCTTCTTCTATTGCATCACTGGATTCACAGCGAGCCATAAGCTGTACTTTTATGTAAACACTACTACATTATTATAGAAAGCAACAGGTGAGATTTGGTATAAAAGATTGTTAGATTTATAAAAAGTTATTGGCACCTTGAAGATGCCCAAATGAGCCCAACTGTGCTAGCATTGCATTCCTGTAGTGTATAAAATAAAATGTTGAATTTGTTCACACAAACAATTAAGTCAAATTGCAATTACAGCTGGACCAGGCATTGGAAATACTGTCCTTGTTCCAGTTCTCAAGTCCTGCATGAGAATTTTAGGAATGACCAACTCTGCACATTGAGCTAGTTTGCAGTCAGTAATAAATTTAACAACTTAATTTTGTACTGTACTGTACTATTTCACCATATGAAATAGTGGTTAGCTATGGTATTCATACAGCAAGAACATCAATAGTTTTAGCCTTGCATAAAACCAGCATCTTGCTTCTTGTTGATACCAACAGTTTTCATTCTGCTTAAATAGTGTTTGTGTTAAGGCCAAGTTAAATGTTCACATTCATATTGTTGCTGTGTGATTTAATCTAGAAAGGGAAGGAAGGAAAGTGAACTCCTTGTCATTGTGACACAGCTCACCACTGCACACAACCGAATGTGACCTCTGCTTTTAACCCATCACCAAAGTGAACAGTGGGCAGCTTTAAGAGCCTGTGGCTGTGGTTTAAGCTTTAGATAAAGACAATTCATTGCAATTGTTATTTTTTGTTGGCGTTTTTTTTTTTTTTTTCATGTTGGAAAAAAAAAAAAAAAGAGACTGGTGATTACAGCCAACACAAGAGCTGCAGTAAAGAGGGCTTTGCTTGGTAGTATATTTTCATGAATCTCAAAAGACTGGTGCTGTGAAGGCCATGTAGATACATATATGTCAATTTTAAACAGTAGTGAAAAGAATTGGGTGAAGCCAATGTGGCTATTATTTCTACAGCTATTGAGCTTTTGTTGAATTTATCTTTAGTCTTCATTAGCGACAGCCTCTTCCCTCTTGTCCGTTAAGTACTCTTACCCCAGTATTTCTTGCACTCAGGCTCTCCATGTTCTTTTTATTTTATGTGCAAAAGGACCATTAAAATATTTAACATTGAAAAATAATTTATTTCAGAAACATACTGTGACCATATATTCATTCAGTTTCTGCATGATACGCTTTTTGTTGTGTACAATGAAATCACCCCACAGAGAAAAAAGTTGTTTTTTTTTTCTTTTTTGAAAACTATGGAAATTAGAAACACACCACTGAGGTTTCACTAAAGTGATGTGACTGCACCTGGCAGATGGCTGGACAGTGATAGCCTTCTGTGGCTAATACCTAGCAGGTATTGCACTTCCTGCAGGACAGAATCTTTACAACCAGACACAAGTGTGTGATCTGTAAAGCTTACACACAAAACGTGATTTGACACTCATATAGATGCACACACTACAATGTCTGGGATAGCACAGTCACACCATGATAGTTCAGAGTAGTTGATTTTACACACACACAAAAACAAAACAATAAAGAGGTGAAGTAATCGAATGACATCCTCTTGGTGCAGGCTGAGCGTTGCCCCTTGATAGCGATCAATAACGGACAGGTAATATCACAGGGAGGGGAGACGAGGATAATCCTTTTTGTATCAGAATGTCAGAATCAGAATCACACTGCTCAAGTCTGGGCTGAACGAGCAAAAGTGCCAATAGTAAAGAGTCCGAAAGACGGTCTTAAAAGTACCTTCAGTAGACGTGCAGTACGAGACCACTGTTTAAGTATGTGAGCCAGCCACAGGTGAAAAGAATGAGTAAATGGTTTCACAGCCCACATCAGCCAGGAGTAAAAGACAGCCCCCGTTGTGTGGAGTTCCAGGCCAGCCGTTATGATGCCACAGTCAAGAGCACCATACAGTAGGTAGTTCAGTCACAATTGGTGCTGGGGTTATCATAAATACTTCTCTTTCAAGGCATCTTTGATTTTCTGAAATACACTCACAAAAAAGATTTAAAGACTAAAATTACTTCAACAGACAGAGATTCTTTTTATATATATCCACAGGACTCCTCGGCCTCAGTGCAGTCACTTTTGACTCACCAAGAACAACTGTGCTGCCTGGCCAGAGAGTAGTTAGTGGAAACACAAGATTGTATCACTGATGCCCACTTGACACTCAGCCAGCTCAATGCAATTTATTGAATCAAAATTTGATCTACATCCACGTCAGTCATTTCTTTCCTCTTCTGCTTTACACCCAGGCGTCCAAACGTCCTTTTCACGTTCACATTATGGCTCCATCATCTCAGTCTCCATTAATGCAAATTGTGCATCAATATGATTTTGTCTCATAGGTATATCTGCTATATATATATATATATATATATATTTATAAGTATATTCATGTGTGTGTGTGTTTTTAAAATGCCTGTGACTTTGTACAGAACTGAAAAGATTGCAGTTTCAATGTGGTTTAATTGAAACTGCAAAAGTAAAAAGAAGTCAGAGTCATGCAAATAGAAAAAATAAAATTGAATAGATGTTTCAGAGTATTTGATGATAGGATGAAAAAAATGAAATCGTACATTAGCACACTAATTCCACTTATTACTCAAAAATGTCTTTAAAATATCAAGGTCTTGTACTGCAGTTTTCCACGTGTATTCTGGTTAAATAGGAAAAAAATAATCTGAAATTATAAGAAGTAAGAAAAGAATGTCCTAAATGATTTGGCTGACCGCAAGTTTGACGATGTTTTGTTCTCCTTTACGAAAAGTTGAGTGGATAATGTTCTTCTCAACATTTCTTTACACAAACGAAGAAAAGCCAGCAATGGGGGCCCGTGATCCTGGGGCTAGACTGCTGGGGGGCCTGTAGAGGGTGTTGTGTTGGCTTGAGGGGTTGGAGCTCTGCTGAGAGGGTGTGGGAGTCCTGCTACCTTTTGGCCTAAAGAGGCTGCCCTGACCCTGGGGCTGGCCCTGAGCCTGTTGAGGCTGTGGACTAGGTGAACTGAGCTGGGGTGGCAGTGGAGGTAAAGGAGGCAGAGGAGGTGGAGAGCAGTGATCAGGATCCCCAGACTCAGACTCTGTGTAGCTGTAGGCCTGCACCCGTGATATGCCTTTCTGTTGGCGACGCCAAGAGTTGTAATAGGTGGGGTCGCTGATATAGTGGTTGACGAAGGAGTGGGTTTTCTGACGGTTGGGGTCCACCTCATACTCACTGTCACTTCCCTGTGAGAGAGAGAGAGAGAGAGAGAGAGAGAGTAGAAGAATAATTTATATAGTTGTGTGTTTGGGTGAAACATTTCCCCAGTGTTTCCATAGTTAGCAGTTAGAGATGCTGAGGCTATAAATGTAAATGAAGTTATTGAATTATTGTGGTGCAAAGTCATCAACCATCCGTTCATAAATAACACATGCGCACGCACATACACACATTTACAACAAAGCACACGTGAAAGTACACATGGACACCGATGATGGGTCAAAAGCGTGTTTGAGGCATGATGATTTGGTACTGAAGCGTGCATTAAAAAAGGGACCACTGACACAAGAGGGCAAAAGTCAGTTAATCTTTGGTCAGCCACTGGACTGATCATTTCATCAAAGGAACAAAGTGTATCTTCAAAAAGGGGTTTTATAGGACTGTACTGTACCATATTTAACCTGATGGGAATCTGAGGGAGAGGGTGAGGGAGTGGGTGAGGAGGAACCAGTCCTCTGTCAGGTTACAAACATTCACAGCAAGCAGCCACAGGAACCTCACCAAATGCAGTGGAAGTGTATGTAGGCCACCTGTTCCATATGAAAACACCAGCGCCTCCTATGGGTGAACAGAACAATGGATTTTACAGTATATCACTATAACAGAATAATAAATGGCCAAATCGTGATGATGTCGATGTTGATGAATATATTTATGGCATGAAAAGCATTTCCTGAACTTTATTACTACAAAGACAGTAAAACTGAAATCTGAAATTGGGAATTTTTTATTCAACAGGAAGGTTTACAAATAAGAGATTAGTCCATTGTACTTTTAATGACAAACATTTTCATTATTAGTGGCAGTTGATCAGCTTATATCTTTGTTACATTTTTCAAACTTTGTTAAACTTTGTTTCCAAATTAGTATTGAAGGTGTAATTAAATAAAAACCAATTTGGGCCTGTAAAGTGCTGATTTTTTTCATCAGCAAAGAAATGACAATTCCCTGCACATTCCTGTCACTGACCATCACTGCATGCTAGGTTACACACATTAATATGTTCCTCTTTGTAACATTCCATCTGCCAGACAAAAAGTAATGTGGCAATTAAATGCTTAGAGGCTATTGGTCGTAGTCAGCTAATTACAAAACAAACAAGCTGCCAATTGATGAACCAGCCTTTAATAAATCACTAAGATGCAATGAAATCCATTTTGCAAAACTTGTCACAGTGGGATGTGACAGCCCAGAAAATGATGTATGTTTAAAAATCAAGAGTTCTAAAGCACACTTGGTGCAGTGATGCTGACAGTTGGGACTGGTTCCAAGATTTTGTATTTGCTCTCTCTCTCTCTCTCTCTCTCTCTCCCTCTCCATTCTAATACTGTTCTGTTCCATCTTCTTCCAAAGAAGTATAGCTACTGGCACGTAGTCTACAATCCTGAGCACAGATCCTTTGCTGGATGCTTCACAGAACATATGTGATGCATATGGCAGCAGTCTCAAATTTCCCACTCCCTCAATATGGTATGCGCCTCCTGTACCAAATCCCAAGACAAAGGCTTTTCAGCACATTGTATATATATGCCCAATCAGAAAGCACTTGATTTCAAATTTATTTTTCTATGTAAAATCACATGTATTTCTTTACTTTAACAAATCAAAGTGACCTCTTTCACGTTATTACCCATCATTTACATCAGTTAATCAACATCAGACATTGTACGTGGCGACTCTGCCATCAGCAGCAACATTTCTGGCTTGTCTTTTGTATGCTGTTCAGTTTTGTGTGAATGCAGGGTTTGAGATGCATCAGTGGTTTCTTTGTGGGTGCATGTGTTGTAATATTTTACCCCTGTGGTAAACAGTTGAGGCCAACCAGTGTTGAAAAGCATTCCTCGCATGCTGGTGTGTTAAGCAACACAACACCACCATTACAAGATCCATTCACAGTGGTCACACTGGATGAGCTGTACCGAGCTGCTTCAAGTGGTATTACCTCACCCAACAGGAACTAGCAATGCTTCGAGAGATAAAAGCTATGTGTGTGAGTCTCTGTGTGGTTGTGTGTTAGTGGGAATAAGCATGCAAAGACCGAGTGTTGACACAGCACTTCGGTACTGCTTCTGCCTATCACCGCTTTGCACTAAAGTGTGATTAACAGATGTTTTTCTCAGGTTCGAAATGTCCTAGACACGAGCGTGCAGCACTCCAGTCCGCCTCCCTTTCCCCTTTCTGTTCATTACCAGTCTTTAACGTAAATAACTCAAGGATCCAACTGAGCAGCCTCCAATGTTGATGTAGGAAATCTGGCTCTAGGGAGGCATTGCAGGTGAAACAGCTCCTTACTTAAAGTCATTACAAGCTAATTACTAGAACTGCATTCTGTGACTGTAACAGACTTCAGGCATGAAATGTAGCATTACCCGCTTGCCTCCAGAGAACCACTATCTTGTTTATGCTCAACGTCAAGCCAACACACACCAGCCTGCCAGTGTCAATTATTAAACATTTTTTCATCATTATGATGTTAAATTAGGCGGAGAAACAGATTAAGAAATCGTTGAAATTGACTGGTGCAACTGCCTGGTAGTTTGTTGTCAGTGTTGTAATAGAGTTGTTCACGATTTCTGATTTTCAGTTGCAACAGTGTAGAAAGAGGAGTAATGTGATGGAAAAAAAGTTCTTCAGGGTGGCTGTTTTTTCTGGTGTGAAATATACTAGGATAAATTGGTTCGGATTTTACCAGGACATTTAGATTTTTTTTTTTTTTTACATGTACTAAGCCTCTTATAAACAATAAGTCTAAATTTCATTATTATTTAGATTTCTTTCTTTTAAAATAAAAAATATTTTAAATGTCTTGCACATAACAGACAAACAATTTGAAACAACACCCCTCACACATGTCAGTGTAGAGAACCTCAAAAGACCTACACCATAGTAGCCTGCCATAATAATGAAGCAAACTGACACTTCCCTGTAGATTGATTGGCTGTTATCACTGAAAAGAAGCAGATTTTCAGGCCATCTGTCTTTGAGAACTTTGAACCCTGACCTTAGTGGTCATCTGAGATTTCCTGTTCTTTACTGTTCTGTTTTTATATGTCATCTGAAATAGCTTTTTAAACAGATCACATGTTTTACATTTATACATTGCAATGATTTCTATAATGAAACAATGGAAAAGTAGATTTTCTTGCTTGGAGGTCCTCCCATTCCCCGAAAATCATGAACGCATGACCCAGTACCAGAGAGTGGGTCAAGCCTTTGTCCTATAGTTATGGATTATTTCAAAGAGTGGAAGGAGGGGTCTTTGCTGTCCTTGTCAGTCTCATTGAGAAAGTGAGCACAGCAGGGTGTTGTGTGAGATGACAGTAACAGAATACGTAAGCAGTGCCAGAGGGGACTAAAAAGTCCAGCGATGTTCACAGTATTTGTTTGTTTTCTTTGACGATGTCAAGGGACTGGACATATGTTAATCCTATTTAACATCTCAAGTTGTCCATAGGTACCACATGTACAGAATGTTGATTTACCGTACTCAAACTATCACTGGGGCCCAATCACTGCTGATCTTCTGTAAAGGTAAAGACAATTCTCTTTATACTGGTATTAGCATATAAAAATCCATTTACTCCAACTCCATTTACTTTAGGACTGTTACACCACATCCCCAGACTGTAAAAACAAAGTGCCTTTGTCTCTAGAGACAATCCAAACATTGGTGATGGTATTCATCATTTGAACTTTAGCCAAAAATAACTGCAGTAGTAGGGATAGACACAGAGGGTGGAAGAGGAAAGAATCAGGCAGAAAAAACATTGATTTTCTTCTATTTCTCTAACTCTGCCTCTCTTCCTCTCTCTGAATGTGGCTCTACTGTGAGAACAGTATATACAATCCATATGTAATTCGGAGATGTGATCGATTATATTTGAGTTTTTTGGTCGTAACAAAGCCCTACCAAGGCAACAACTTTGGAAAAGGAAAACAAACTATACATTAAAGGGTAAAGAGAAAACATCAATATGCTTCTTCCTGCAGGGCAGCTGAATAGTAACGGTAGCCTTGCTGCCTTGTCAAGTCAATGTTTGGCTTCCTCCAAATCCCCTTTTGAGTAGGAGTACAACAGTCAACTCATACCTGCTGGTGCAGGCCCCAAGGATTAAAGAGGACAGGCAGCACAATGTCATACTGATACCTCAGAGTTATCCGCTCAATAAAACTTCAAAGAACATTCCTGGATTTCTCCTCTGCACCACTGGGTGCTGATACGGTGCCCTGTCAAGGGGGTTTTTGCCAGTGGATCCCTGGCAAAAACAGACAGTGCTCTGTGTGTTTTATCCCATCAAAGCTCATGTCAGCATGTTGAATGTGCAGCGTGGCAGCAGACAGGCGTTGTCACAAGGCAGTTACTGCATTAGGAGCCATGTCTGACAGTGCCCAAGTGCAAATGGTAGATATGTCAGACAGGTGCTGAAATGCCCAATTGCTCTGTTTGGGAGAGGTTATTATTATGAGAAAGATCCTGTCTATAGTGATTCATTGTAGAAAGATTTTCATTTGATCTGAAAATAGGACCTTGGTCTTGCTAAGTTAAGGTGGGGACAGATTTTTGGCTGTGGAATTCACGCTACAGTTGTGTTTGCTGAGAGATGGGCCTTGGTAATAAGGCCAGTGTCTAGCATTAAGGAAGTCCTCTTTGATAGAAAAGAGTGAAGGAAGTCTAAGGACAATGAAATCTAGCAACATTTTCTGCTGCAGAGTTTTTCATCTGACTGGGTCTGCAAGACGGCTTACCCAAACCACAGAGTGAGCACTGCAGCGAGGTTGACGTAAACAAAAACAGGGAACACAGATGCATGTGGAGGAGAAGAAAAATAAAGTACAAGAGGGAAATAAAGCAAAAGCGTATACTGAAAAAAATACATAAAACTCAAAGCAGGCATCGTGGGTGGCACAATACTGATCAATGGAAAAGTAGAAACTCCTTTAAACATTTTTTGTACTGAAACTGACCTTACTGAAAACCCATTTGGAAACTTGGATAGGCAGCCCAGATGGAGCTGCAGAACGTAACAAGCAGTAAAATAAAATTTGCACAGTTCATCTGCCCTCGCAGTCTTATATAAGAATTGCTGTGGCTGAGTGCAGTGGCCTGGATTTCAGGTGGAGGTTTACAGAGCAGTTTTATCCACCAGTCTCTGTATGGAATAAAAAACTGCCCTGCCACCAGTGAGCAGAGACTCTGATCCCGTATCTCACTACGTGCATCTGTGTATCTGTGTCATATGACCCCTGCAGGTCAAATGCATTCAGGTGCATCACAAAGTACGCCATGTGGACTGTGAACTGAGAAAAAAAACACTGTATGCTTGACAACACAGAGCTGAATTCTTAGGGAATTTAGCAGGATGACTGAATGTGCACACAGACAAGTACAAATACACACTTAGTGCAGACACACTGTGGGCATTTTACATTCAGAAACCACACGAGGAAGACAGGGTTTGCTACTGTACCTGTGAGTCTGAGATCTCTGAGGGTTTCTCAGTCAGGCTGCTGTTCTCTGCTGGGATCAGGTCGTTGTATTTTGTGCTGACATCTTCGTCAGAATAGTGAAGACTGCCAGGACTGGGTCTGGGGGGAGATCTGTGACAACACAGAAAAAAAAACAAAAAACAAATCAGACTGTTTGAGATGTTTGAGAAGTGGTCTGGACTTCTCTGAGTGGAAACATTAACATGAAGAATATAGAGCCTTTCATTAGTAGTCATGTATCTCTCACAAGTCGATTTTGTCTATTGGCAAATCTTTATATTGTCACGATGGTGTTGTAAGACTACCGCTCCACAAATCAGTGGGCACTCGTCACTCAGCATACACAACCAATACAACTGCCTACTTCATTTCATGCTACTGCAATTAGTTCATCTACCAGGGCTAGTTAAGCTAATGGCTCTTTTATCTTTATTTACAACTTTTGGAAAGAAAGCAAATCAACAAGCAAATATAGTTAGTTACATTTTTGCAGGTCATTTAGTTGTTTATTTGGGTTTTTGGCCTTTCTCCAAAAGCCAAGGTATGGACTTTGGTCTCTACTTTTTACCTAGGTGTGTGTCTTAAGCCTAGTACATTTTTTTTGTCACAGCTTGTTTGCAGTGTCCTGGTTGTATCCTTCCTCAAAGCTTATGTCAGCTGGAACTGAATCCCCCTGAAACCTTTAAAGGAAGAAACCATGTACATAATACTGTAGGTGTATACTGAGAGGCAAATGGCAGTGGTTTCATTGAAAGATACCAGTTTAATTGGATGAGCTGTGTGAATAAGGAAATGTAACAAAAACAGAAAGTGGAGAAGCTCTTGAATTACTCTTGCTTGTCCTGGTTGGTTTAACTTAATTTAAAAATACTATTGCTGTATATTTGGATTCTACGTGGCTTGGTGTTTAAAAGCCCTGCAACTTCGTGTGTGTAAAGTGACATGCTTTCACCACCACTTGCTCGTTCTCACCACTTGTCAAAAAGACAAACTGCCAGTAAATTATTTTAAAGTAACTGGCTTGTTTAGTCTGTCTCATTTTAAAACCACTGTATTTCTCACTAGTTAGATTGTGTTGAATTGATGTTTTTTGTGTTCATCCATATCACTTATTGATTGCTTCGTCCACAAAAATACTTTTATACGTGTCTGGAGCAAGTGCCAATAGTGCATCTAAATTGCTATGAGTACTTTTTTAAATTATTGTGCCATTTGTATTTGATTTTAGAAACCAAATCTGATAAAAAAAAATAAAAAAAGTGTTACATATGACAGCAATGTCTTCTTTTTAGACATACTGTATGTCACTGCATGCTTGTCTCAGTGTGCATCTTGATGAGAATCATGGGACACTCATGAGACAACCGCCTATGCTGAGTCTCTCCTGGAATTAATAATTCTCCCCATTCGTTCCTAGCTGTGGGCTGTGGAATGTCAAACCACAGGGCCCTTGTGACTGAAATATAAATTGAACTCTTGCGGCGCTCCAGGGGTCATTACACAAATGGCAGCCTCGGGCTTCTTTCCATAGCAAATGTTATTAGAGCCTAACATGAAGAATGGCATGGATTAACGTTCCAGAGGCGTGCTGCAGTGACCAAATATGCCGTTCAGGTGAAAGTTTGCAGAGTGTAAGTGATGAGACTGAGCAGAAACACTGAAGGGAGTGTGCAGTGAGAGAGAGAGAGAGGTCAAGGCGAGGTGTTGAGTGAAACTGAAGGCCTGAAAGAAAGATGGAATGAGGAAAAACTGAGGGCAGGGTGAGATGGATTACTGAGGAAAAAACAATTCCTAAAATGGTGTTCTTCAGTGAGGGTTTTTTTAGGTGAGCTTGAGAGAAGAGAAAAAAGTCACACTCTCACTGCCTAAGCTCTCCCCCACTTTTCTAGTGTATCTGGTCTTACTAAGCAAACGCCAATCTGTTTCTGCTGAATGCTGCTGGTTTGGCTAATACTACTGGGACATGTAGTCCTGTTCAGTCCCCATTGCTTGGCCAATGTAGTGTCAGAGGAGCTGCTGTGGTGCACAGACTATCGCTTTACCCATGGAAACTTAACTTGCATTTGTTATTTTCCAAATAAGCATATGTTGAAGGAATTTCAAAGATGCACTGGCTAAATTCCAGAATTTTTCCCAAGAGCTGTTTCCTTTGGACTGTAGATGTCTAAAGGGAAATCACAAAGAAAATGGTTTATTTATTTCAGTTACCCTGATTATTAATATAAAATTAGAGTTTAGATTAGAGTTCATTAGTTCAACCTAAGTGGAGAAATAGCAGAAGAGAGCAGCCTATACTGTGTGTGTAAGGCACATGTTGGGAACTACATTTCTGTTCATATTTGATGGTATTGAATAAAATAGCATTTCAGTCATGGCTGTACAGATCTATTGACTAACTATGTCAGGCACACAGGCATAAATAGAAAATAAAGTAATCACAGAGCAAACACTATTTAAATAAAGCGTTCAGTAAAGTGACCTTTAAAAGCTAAAGCTTTTTGGTCACTTAACTACAATTTTCTCCGAGCTCGAGGTCATGCATTTTTCACAGCAGTAAATATATAGCTACAAATAGTGGACAACATTATTTTTTATTCTTAAGAACTGGGTACAAATGTGTATATTGGTTTTACCAATATAAATAAATAAATAACTGTGATATTCGATTGCAATGCTACATTGAGGAGATTTACTACATATGCCAGTGTTTTACTCCTGTTAGAAATGTTTAGGATTTACCATTAGTCAATTTTTTGGCATTTGACATTTCCTTAACAAGCGTACCCTTAGGGGCAATTCCTTAAGAATTCACCCAACCAAGAGCTGATGCCAAGAAGAAGACATTGTATTGTTACCCCCCTGGGAACCTGTTATAAACTGCCGGTTTAGGAAACTCAGCCCACTTATAGTCATTCTCCTTGACCCCCATACACAGTTGCTGTCTACAGACGCATTAATTATTTATCAGCTCTCTCTCTGGCAATGAGAGGGGTCCACTTATTCTGCTTGCTGCAAAATTCAGTCAGCAGCATGTGGTGTAGGAAACTAGAACCATGGGGTGAAATTAAATCTGCCCCCAGTCTTTACTCATTATCAGACTCTTGTCTTGCTACCACTGCCTGTAGGGACTGGTTAACATGTCTAAAGTGTTCAAGCACTTTGTCACTCAGGAGTGTTTAAAACTATGTTAATCTACATTGAAATTACACAACACTTCTGTGAATAGATTTAAAACTATTGGATACTTTTTTTACAAAGCTTAGTCTTTGTTCTTTCAGCAGCACACATATTGAACTTCAACTTTAGCCTCTGACCATGTGTTGGGTGCTTTTAATCATGATGTTGAATCACATCAACTACCAAATCAGTGTTTCTGCGATGATTTGTATCCACTGCAGAGAATGAGGGACACAAGCTATGGCCCAACTATTATCCTTCCTCCAGATGTATGTATATTATAATGTACTGTATATTCTATTTAATGTGTTGTAGTTGCACAGTAACTTGGCTTTTATTTTAACAAGAATCTTGCAGGTTAGTCAGCGATATGGCCCAGAGGGGTGGATGTGGCCCGTGGGCCGTAGAACACCAAGGTCTGCCTTAGGTTGTGAATTTAGAGCAAGCAACATGGTTGATATTTCTTAAGTAATGACAGCAGCCACAGTTACATTTATAACTATTTGAATGTTTATTTAAAGTTATTTACATAGAAATATGAAGTCAATTCTCTGACGCTGCTAAACTTGATTCTGTTGTAGTTTGTACATTTTGTTTGATGAGGAAAATGCTAGGCATCACTGACAGCACCAATACAAAAATGAAGCAAACTTCAGCAGAAATAGGCGATGAGTTAAAAATGTTATGTTATGTAATAACATCTGACCTCGTTTATGGATAAACTGAATGTCACTCTGTTGTTTGAGGCATCTGTTTACAATGTAGGGTGCAGTGATGGTAAATGTTATAGTCCATGGTAAACAGGATAATACTGTCCTCAGTTGTTTGTTTTACAGTCTAAAGTGACATTTACACCATAATTCTCTTTTTTCCACGTGTGGTAATAATTTAGGTTAATATGGAAAATGCATGGAACACCCTGTACTTAACAGACCATGAATGGCATTAACATCTGACACAGCTCTGACACTATTTCAGTGGGACTGTGAGTGTGTTTGATTTCTACATCCAGACATCAGGCACCGGAATTTATCCTGACTTTGGTATTTGGAGGCATGGCGTTAATCTGTAATCAGGAGGCTCAGGTGTTGAGTTACTTTGTCATGGGGTTGACTTGAAAGAAAGTTGGTGCTGATAGTACATCTGCACCCCCCGCACTCCCCTCCATCCATTTTAACCACAACTGTAATAGACTGGAAAGGTCTTGGAACCTGTTGTGATGCATCCTTAGGGTCATGCTCATGTCCAAAATGTGCAGAAAGGTAGCAGCAAAGAAGTTATTCACAATATTATTTTTATTGAAGAGTTGCATAATATCCATCTGAAACATAGTCACTGCTAACAGATCTCTGCAGCTGGCCTGAAGGGTAAACAGACAACAGTCTTAGCATGAGGGAATTATTTGCAGTACATAACTAATTAAAAGTAAAATACCAGCCCGTTCATATGCTATGTTTACCTGGTTCAGAGAGCAGATTTAAGCCCCTGTGTGTTCATCTTGGAGGTTTATTGTTGCCAAGGCTTACAGAAAGAGTAACATGAATAACTCTACTGTGTCACTATGTTTGTTCAATTACAATGTCATGTTGGACTGACATTTTAAACTTCATCTGCAAATTTCTGTTTGTGTCACAGATCACTGACCTGGTATAGACGCCATTCTTTCGGCAGAAGGAGTTTTTCACAGACAGCCGTCTGTTGTTTAGCTCCAGAGCTGGGAAACGTCCCTCATCCAAGCTGACCATGTCCCCGTGGGTCAAGGCATTGCAGTTGTTTCCTGGACACAGGTAGAGAGATACTTTACTAAACTCAGACTACTCTACTGTCACTCTCCCACTCTCTCTCCCCTCTTTCTCTTCTCTCTCTCTCGTTCTCCTTTCTCCTCTATTAGGAAGAAACAGAGGACAGAATAAGAAATGGAGAGAGGGGAGATAGAGAAGGTAGAGAGAGGAAAGATTTTGATTTTTGAAATAACACTGTATTAACAGTAGGTCTAAAAACTGTAAAACACTCAATAACAATCAAGAGACAATCTGATTAAATTAGGAGCTGTGCAAATTTTAGTTTATTGCCAGTCACCTGGCACAGAAGATTTGATTTTTAAAATAACACTGTTTACAGTTGGTGTAAATCTTTAAAACATATTGTTACATCAACATATTGATGTAGGATCTGTGCAATATACAGTTCATTGTCAGCTACCTAGAGAGAGGAGAAAAAGAGAGAGGTCTACCTCCCACTCTATCCCTTTCCCTTGACCCACGTTAACCCTTACCCCTTCCTTCCCTTTGCCCTACCCACCCGCCCTTCCCCCTACATCCCCATCCCCACCCACCTTCCTCTTACCCCACTCCTCCCTTCCCCCACTCTACCTCTTCCCCTTAACCCACTCTAACCCTACCCCTTCTTCCTCCTCCCAATACCTTCCCACCCCTCTACCCCTTCCCCCTACCTCCAAACCTGCCCTTTCCCTTAACCCACTCTAACCCCTACCCCTTCTTCCTCCTCCCAATACCTTCCCACCCCTCTGCCCCTTCCCCCTACCTCCCAACCCGCCCTTTCCCTGAACCCACTCTAACCCTTACCCCTTCTATCCCTTTCCGTTACCCCACTCCTCCCTTCACCCCACTCCTCCCCTTACACCGCTCTACCCCCACTCTACCCCTTTCCCTTAACCCACTCTAACCCTACCCCTTCTTCCTCCTCCCAATACCTTCCCACCCCTCTGCCCCTTCCCCCTACCTCCCAACCCGCCCTTTCCCTTAACCCACTCCTCCCTTCACCCCACTCCTCCCCTTACACCGCTCTACCCCCACTCTACCCCTTTCCCTTAACCCACTCTAACCCTACCCCTTCTTCCTCCTCCCAATACCTTCCCACCCCTCTACCCCTTCTCCCAACCCGCCCTTTCCCTTAACCCACTCTAACCCCTACCCCTTCTTCCTCCTCCCAATACCTTCCCACCCCTCTACCCCTTCCCCCCTTTGCCCTACCCACGCGCCATTCCCCCACCTACCTTCCCCAAACCTCCAAACCCCCCCTTTTCCTTAACCCACTCTAACCCTTACCCCTTCTATCCCTTTCCGTTACCCCACTCCTCCCTTCACCCCACTCCTCCCCTTACACCGCTCTACCCCCACTCTACCCCTTTCCCTTAACCCACTCTAACCCTTACCCCTTCTATCCCTTTCCGTTACCCCACTCCTCCCTTCACCCCACTCCTCCCCTTACACCGCTCTACCCCCACTCTACCCCTTTCCCTTAACCCACTCTAACCCTACCCCTTCTTCCTCCTCCCAATACCTTCCCACCCCTCTGCCCCTTCCCCCTACCTCCCAACCCGCCCTTTCCCTTAACCCACTCTAACCCTACCCCTTCTTCCTCCTCCCAATACCTTCCCACCCCTCTACCCCTTCCCCCTACCTCCAAACCTGCCCTTTCCCTTAACCCACTCCTCCCTTCACCCCACTCCTCCCCTTACACCGCTCTACCCCCACTCTACCCCTTTCCCTTAACCCACTCTAACCCCTACCCCTTCTTCCTCCTCCCAATACCTTCCCACCCCTCTTCCCCCTACCCCTACCTCCAAACCCGCCCTTTCCCTTAGCCCACTCTAACCCTTACTCCTTCCTCCCCTTTGCCCTACCCACCTGCCCCCACCCCACCTACTTTCCCCTACCCCCTACCTCCCCTTCCCTTAAGCCTTTTTCCATCTACCCCTTCCCCATACCGCCAAACCCACTCTAACCCTTACCCCTTTGTCCCCTTTGACCTACCCACTGGCCTTCCCCTAACCCCACTCCTCCCTTCCCCTTACACCACTCTACCCCTACCCCCCCCTCTCCCCTTTCCCCCTACCTCCAAACCCGCCCTTTCCCTTAACCCACTCTAACCCTTACCCCTTTGTCCCCTTTGTCCCCTTTGACCTACCCACTGGCCTTCCCCTAACCCCACTCCTCCCCTCCCCTTACACCACTCTACCCCTACCTCCAAACCCGCCCTTTCCCTTAGCCCACTCTAACCCTTACTCCTTCCTCCCCTTTGCCCTACCCACCTGCCCCCACCCCACCTACTTTCCCCTACCCCCTACCTCCCCTTCCCTTAAGCCTTTTTCCATCTACCCCTTCCCCATACCGCCAAACCCACTCTAACCCTTACCCCTTTGTCCCCTTTGACCTACCCACTGGCCTTCCCCTAACCCCACTCCTCCCCTCCCCTTACACCACTCTACCCCTACCCTCCCCTCTCCCCTTTCCCCCTACCTCCAACCCCGCCCTTTCCCTTAACCCACTCTAACCCTTACCCCTTCCTCCCCTTTGCCCTACCCACCTGCCCCCACCCCACCTACTTTCCCCTACCCCCTACCTCCCCTTCCCTTAAGCCTTTTTCCATCTACCCCTTCCCCATACCGCCAAACCCACTCTAACCCTTACCCCTTTGTCCCCTTTGTCCCCTTTGACCTACCCACTGGCCTTCCCCTAACCCCACTCCTCCCCTCCCCTTACACCACTCTACCCCAACCCCCCACTCTGCCCCTTCCCCACCCCACTCTACCCTTTACCCCTTCGCCCCACCCCCTACCCATACCTCCAAACCCGTCCTTTCCCTTAACCCACTCTAACCCCCACTCTACCCCTTTCCCCACTCCTCCAAAACCCCACCCACCTACCTTCCCCTTAAGGGGAGGAAGGGGTAAGGGTTAGACTGGGTTAAGGGAAAGGTGTAGAGCGGGGGGAAGGGAGGAGTGAGGTAAGGGTTTGGAGGGGGAAATGGGAGGAGGGAAAGGGCAGGTGGGTAGGGCAAAGGGGAGGAAGGGGTAAGGGTTAGACTGGGTTAAGGGAAAGGTGTAGAGCGGGGGGAAGGGAGGAGTGAGGTAAGGGTTTGGAGGGGGAAATGGGAGGAGGGAAAGGGCAGGTGGGTAGGGCAAAGGGGAGGAAGGGGTAAGGGTTAGACTGGGTTAAGGGAAAGGTGTAGAGCGGGGGAAGGGAGGAGTGAGGTAAGGGTTTGGAGGGGGTGGGAGGTAGGGGGAATGGGAGGAGTGGGGTTAGGGAAAGGGCAGGCTTTGGGGTAGGGATAAGGGGTAGAGGGGGGGAAAAGTAGGGGAGGAGTGGGGTAAGGGGAAGAAGGGGTAAGGGTTAGACTGGGTTAAGGGAAAGGTGTAGAGCGGGGGAAGGGAGGAGTGAGGTAAGGGTTTGGAGGGGTTTGGAGGAGTAGGGGAAGGGAAGAGTGAGGTAAGGAGAAGGGCAGGCGGGTAGGTCAAAGGGGTAAGGGTTTGGAGGGGGAAATGGGAGGAGGGAAAGGGCAGGTTGGGAAGTAGGGGAGGGCGGGTGGGTAGGGCAAGGGGGACGAAGGGGTAAGGGTTTGGAGGGGTTGGGAGGTAGGGGGAATGGGAGGAGTGGGGTTAGGGAAAGGGCAGGTTTTGAGGTAGGGATAAGGGGTAGAGGGGTGGAAAAGTAGGGGAGGAGTGGGGTAAGGGTTAGTGTAGGTTAAGGGAACGGGGTAGAGGGGTTTGGAGGAGTAGGGGAAGGGAAGAGTGAGGTAAGGAGAGGGCGGGTGGGTAAGTCAAAGGGGAGGAGGGAAAGGGCAGGTGGGTAGGGCAAAGGGGACGAAGGGGTAAGGGTTTGGAGGGGGAAATGGGAGGAGGGAAAGGGCAGGTGGGTAGGGCAAAGGGGACGAAGGGGTAAGGGTTTGGAGGGGGAAATGGGAGGAGGGAAAGGGCAGGTGGGTAGGGCAAAGGGGACGAAGGGGTAAGGGTTTGGAGGGGTTGGGAGGTAGGGGGAATGGGAGGAGTGGGGTTAGGGAAAGGGCAGGTTTTGAGGTAGGGATAAGGGGTAGAGGGGGGGAAAAGTAGGGGAGGAGTGGGGTAAGGGGGGGAAGGGGTAAGGGTTAGTGTAGGTTAAGGGAACGGGGTAGAGGGGTTTGGAGGAGTAGGGGAAGGGAAGAGTGAGGTAAGGGTTTGGAGGGGGAAATGGGAGGAGGGAAAGGGCAGGTGGGTAGGGCAAAGGGGACGAAGGGGTAAGGGTTTGGGATGTAGAGGGGAAGGGGAGGAGTGGGTTAGGGAAAGGGCGGGTTGGGAGGTAGGGGTGGAGGAGTGGGGTAAGGGTTTGGAGGAGTTGGAAGGTAGGGGGAAAGGGTAGAGGGGTGGGGAGGTAGGGGAGGAGTGGAGTAAGGGTTAGAGTGGGTTAACCCACTCGAACTCTTACACCTTCTTCCGCTTCCCTTACACCACTCTACCCCCACCGCTCAACTTAACCCACCCTTATCCTTACCCCTTCACCCTACCCACCTACCCTTCCCCTTACCTCATTCCTACCGCTCCAAAACCCCACTCGCCTTCCCCCACTCTTAGAAAACTTTAAGAAAACTGCATACTGTCACTGTACTCACCTGATTCAGACTTCTTGGCATATTTTTTGCTCTGCCCCCTAATGATAAGGATAAAGACCAGCAGTAGAATGAAGATGAGCCCGACCAAAGCCACCACCACCAGGAACCACCACTCCTCATAGAAAGGTGCCACTTTTTGAGCTGGAGTGTGAAAAAAAACAAGAGAGAGTTTTAAGATGTGCTACAGTTGAGGGCACCAAGCTTCAGTTCTGTGATGTCACAGTGTTCCAAAACCTCACCAGATATAGATGGAGAGGGAAGACTTGGAGCTCCATAGCCGTAGTCGTTCACTCCAATTACACGAAAATCATAACTGACTCCTTGCTTCAGGATGTCCATACTGAACGTATGCAACGTTGCTTCCTTGGGAATGTCCTTGATCAAAATATCCCACAGTCCCTCATCTGCAAGTCATAATAGCAGGTCAGGGGAGAGCAGTAAAGTTGCAAAAACAATTACATTTTAATACCATTGTATCTTTATTAGCAGGTTGTTTGTTTGTTCTAAACACCAGGCTGGTTGGCAGCTCCCCTTGGTTATACATAATCCCCATAAATATTACACAATCCATCAATTTCACTGCTCCTGTAAAATTTACAGCCACCAAATCTACATCATAAATAGTGGCACAGCCATATTTCAAACCAGTGTTAGATGGCTGGCTGCTTGCTTTGGAAGTCAAGTGATCATTTATTACACAATGCTGCTTGTAAACAGCAGTGTACATTTGAGTCTTTTAATGGGGTACACAAACATAAACAAGCACTCCGGTTCATCAGTCATAATGTTGAACGAGAGTTAAAAGCTGATGAAAACAGATTCTAGAACAGGGCAAGTCATTAAGTTTTAGAGGACTACAGGGAAATCTAGCACTTTGCATGTTTCACACAAAGGATGTGTGTTTCAGAGGCCAAATCTTGGCTCTCCCTAAGGACCTCTCTCCTAAAGATATTCCCTTACATCTAAGAGTACTCTTTAAAATTTAAGCACCCACTCCAACTTCACTCTAATACATCTGTGAGTTACCCATCATCTATCACCCTCTTAACCCTGCCTGGGTGGTGTCACTCACAGCTGAAAGTGGACGACAATTGTCTCAACTGCAGCAGCTCAATCAATAACCAGTTAAAATGCCAGAGACACCAACAGACGCTGACATTTTCAACACTCAATTTCATCAAACTAAGTGGCGATGAAGTCAGGCCGGTGGACCTAAATGAATAATTTTAGTGGTGATCGCCTGGTTTGTGATAATGAGCATCTCACCTGAAGGTCTGGCTTCGATGACATAACGTGTGATTGGCGCACGTCCTGGATCTCCACTGGTCCAGTGGATGGTGAGGGCTGAACCATGGCGAGTGATGAAAGGCTCTCCAGGAGGCCCAGGGGCTCCTGAGAAAAAAAACCAAACAAATACCAAAGATTGGTTAACACATTCAAATAAAATACACAATTTAAAAATGTAATAAAAACAGTACCGGTGCCACTACCTTCTCCAGGGCCTGTTGTGATGTTAGCCTCCACTTCAGGCCCATAGATGAAGGTCTTCGCCCGGATGCGAAAATTATACGTGATGCCGTCAGAGAGGTCTCTGAGCTTCAACCAGAGAGGACCGCTTCCCCTCACATCCACCGTCACTGTTTTACTGACGCCTGGGGGGGAGGGGGAGTGAAGACAGTCGGCACAGGCCACTGAGGAGTCTGGACAGACACAGCACATTTAGAGCAAGTCTTACACAGGCCAGCCAGTGCGGAAACACACTCAGTATGTACACACACACATTTACAGTAATGGAGTTACTAGTGGTAAATAAATGTGCCTTAATTTGTGGCACTTTAGTTGGATATAATTTATACTCGTAGAGCATGTGCAAGGTTGTTGTGTGTAACTGTTAGAATCAGAAAAATGGTTAGCACATAGCTTAGGAAAAATGCACAGCACAATGTTGTGACACGTGAAGTTAAACAAGTCATATTCAGTGAAAAGTTCAATTGGTCATCGTAAAAAACCTTAGACTGTGCTTGCAGCATTTTATTGCAGCTGTTTCAGGCAGCGAGAAGTGAATTAAAAAAAAAAGAACGCTCACCCTCCACAGGTGTGCAGGGCTCGTATATGAGACGATAGCCTTCAATGATGCCATTAGGGAAGGTGGGCTCACCCCAGGACACATTGACTGAAGTGGTGGTCAGCTCACTAAAGTGAATGAAGCTTGGAACACTTGGAGCTGAAAGATAAACAAGCCTCATTTAAAAAAAATGTCTTTCCTTTAGAGACATTTGCCTGTCATTCCAAAGAACTTAAAGAGAGAACATTTTAAGAGCAGATACTTCAAATGACATGCTAACTGTTTAGAAAGTTGTATTTGTTTTTTAAGATCATCCTGCACAAACTCTACAGCCTTAACTTTGCATAATAATGCCTAATTTAAAATCATTGTTATTTATGTAGAAAAAATGTTTCAATGAATCACCAAACTACTTCTAATTTTGCACCTGAAATACTCTAGCCATCCTACAGTAATATAGTCTAAATACATAGCCCAGTCCACCTGTATACACCATGTATATATTTCGATTTTATTTAGCTTGTGTAGTTCTGTGCCACAACGAAATTACCTCAGCAGAACTGATTCATAAAACCAATTTTGGAACCAGGGAGAAAGGCTTATATAAAGGCTAATATCCTATGTCCAGATGAGTGACTATGAGTAATGCACATGAAAATGATGGAAATGTGAAACCTACAGTATGTGACTCTATCTATGACAGTCTGAAACTGAAAAAAAAAAAAAAAAAAAAAAAAAAAAAAAAAAAAAATAAATATAAAATCTATATACACAGTATATGAAGCCATTTAAATTCTAGATTACTCCTCACAGAACAACAATGTAATATCTAAATGGAAAACAATGGGTTATATACTTTATATACAATATAAATTACTTTTCTGAGCCTATGTTTTCTCTATTTAACAAGTGAGAAAAAGTAATTACTGAACTGAAAAACATATCTGGAGATGTTAACTGCTGCTTCTCTAACCTTCCACAGCTGCAACTCTGGTATTGTTGTTGCTGTTGTACTTTTTTCCTAGATAACACTGGCTGGGTTCAGTTCTGATCACACACGGTGATCGTCCTCATTCACCAGCTGAACTGTCCTGATTAGGTCAACACCAAGTTTTTATCCTGTACTGAGCACAGGTTGAAAGGCTAAACAGCAGATAAAAGTACAATCAGACTGGGGGTCACACTATTTGCCAACAACAATGACCGCTCTCATCCCCCGGGCTCATTACACTTCACTGGGTTTCCGACACTGCTCTACTGAAAATACACTTTGTCCTGTTGTTTTTAAACTTGCCCGACAACAGTAGAGAGACGCTGGCAAAGACAATGAGTCTTTGTCTTTGAAAAAAAGATGGGCTGGTGCTGCTCCTCCACCTCCCCCTCCAACAAGCTTGTCTCTGCTTCCTCCCTCATGACACTGACCCACAAGGGAAAGTCAGAAGCTGTCAACATTTATTTTTTGCTTTTCACAAGCCCAAAAATACCCAAAAAAAAAATCAGTGCAAAGAGAGAGAGAGAGGGAGAGAGAAAGAGACAATGAGAAAAAGTGTCGGGAGAAAGAAAATCTCAAAGTGTAAATGTTGCCTCAATTTTCTTTTTTTTCCATAACATCTCAGACAGAACAATAGAGGCAGTGATTCTTTTCTGTGGTTGACTCATCTAAACTGTCAGGCAGGAGCTAACAAATATAATAAACGTGTTAAAAGGGCTCCACAGACTGGTTCTGGATCATCTCTATCACATTTCCATGAATTACTTTGAATTACAACAACTACTAGGACTCTCAAACCCAATGTTTAATCTGATTAATCGCAGGATAGCCATGGATTAGTCACAAATAATCATAATTCATCACAATGAATTAATCCTGATTAATTGTGATTCATTGCAACTAATTTCAATGATGGAAAAGTTTAGTTTCATAGAGATGATGGTTTTTATCAGAGATGGTGGCCATTACTGTGCATCTTGACACTGGCTTGTAACACGCATTTAGAGTTACTTTCAAAGCTTCAGTGTCATTAACAATATTAATTGATCTACAGTCCTGCACAGGCCACTACTCACTGTGTTCGTTTCACTTACTGCCCTGCACTCAGTGGGGCATTTAGACAGTACTTTAGCTCAAAGGTGATTTGGTGAAACCTTTGACCACAGTGTATATTCGGGCGAAGATAAGTGCATGGACGATGGAACCACAGGTTAAAGAGAGTGTGTCCTTTTTTGTGTTAATTTAAGTTTAAAAAACAATTAATTTTACAAATATATTAAAGCGATTTCTGTGATCATTTTGACTGTACATGGCTCTGCAGCAGTCTTGGCTGTTGTGCTCATCGTAGAGAGACATCTTGGGACTTACCTGCTTGCTGAGTTCGGCCCCTGGTTGGTTGGCTTCGTGGTCCATCCCCTGCAGCGTTAAAGGGGGCTACACTGATCATGTAGGTGGTGTAACCAGTCAGGTTCTTCAGCTTCACCCCTCTTTCTGGCATGAACAAAGTTCGCAGCCGCTCCGTCTCATTCTTGCGCTGAAACTCCCAGAAGTAAACCTACACAGAAGCAGAGGCATAAATACCACATATTATTGTATGTCTGCAGACGCAGCTCAGGGACCATAACGACTTCAGCTTTTATAAACAGCAGCTCTATTTCAGAAACCCTCAAGGGGTTGAACGCTATTTAATTTTATTTCCTGTAAATGTTTTCTTGAGTAACGTTCTTAAGATTTCCACCAAAGCCCAGCAGACAGCAAAGTTGTAGAAAACAACCAAAGCATACATTAAGTGGCATTTAACATCTACGGCATGTTATCTCATGTGAGCCACAAAATGATTCAAACATTTATACAATGATAAAAACGTAACTCATTCACATATTGCTGTTCTCTCGGAAAGTGAGCCTATAAAACCTGTTTCTCTTAGGCTGTATCTGGCATTTGAGAAATATCTGCTGGAGAATGAAGAGGCCTGTTAGTCTGACCTTGTAGCCCTGAATGTCTCCGTTCTGTGCGTTTGCGGGTGGTGGATCCCATGTCACGTCCAGCTGGGTGGCGGTTGCAGTCTGAATGGCCACATTCTGAGGTGGAGCTGTTGGCACTGTCATCACACAAGCATATCATATTTTTGGCATAAATGTAGAGGAAAAGACAGCTTTCACAAAACAGAAATTCTGTTCTTTTTTTTTTTAAATCTGTGATCAAAGCAACACAAATAGCACCTGGTTTCTAAGACCAGTCATTACAGCCCTCCAGGTTTGAGAACATCTGGTTTTCCAAGAAAGTAACAGCCAAACAATTTCACCCCAAGCCCTGTGTTGATTGTAATGACAGGAAATGTACAGTACATACCTGCCTCCCCCACAAACACCTCCTGTGGTGGGCTGAGTGGGCCCTCGCCCACGGCGTTGTACACACTCATGCGTATTTCATAGCGCTTATGTTTACTTAACTCTGCAGCCGGAAGAAAAAAGAAAAGGACG